GTATGTTCTTAGTACAGTTAAACAAAGGAGTACAGTGAAACAATTTCTGGTACAATTGGTTATAGTAGTGATTGTTTCCATTACACCAGTCGCGTTCTGTTGATATAAGTAGGTCACTACACCTTATAGTGTAGAAAGAGTAGAGGTGAGGTGATCGAAATTTTGTAATGATTTACTGATAAATTTGCGTCTGACATAACTCGTATCTGTTGCCTATCAAGAAGGAGAATTCACTAAGTCACTAATGAAGTTCCACTAGCTTGTCAACTGAAATCTGGCCTTTAGCGCAAAGACTAGGAAAAACTAACAGATCATCATTTCTAAACCAACTGAAGCAAACTAATCTAAGTTCATTTCACATACATGCTTAAATATATGAAAACCTATAAGGAACTTCATTGTCTAGTTAAAATGGCAAAATACCTCGCTGGAAGCTACCAAAAACTTAGATTTACTTATTAACATCCCGGAAAATCCCGCGCTTTTCCAACGGAAAGTTTAGTCTTAACGTGATTTGCATTTATCAAACTTTTGCTGTGTTCTTACGCAACCAAAGTACCATTTCTGACCAAAAGAGTCTATCCTGAGCTAAACGTTCGTAGATTGCTTTTTTTGAGTATCACCTAATTTAATAGTTAACTGTGGTTTTACCTCAGCTTACTATTCGGTTTTCTTTCTCTGTTTTTCACGTTAAAACTAGTTCAGTTTATCTCATCCGTTTTATCCATTTTTGTCCGTTTTCAGTGTGAGTTTTAGAGTATGTTTTACGGTCTCAGGCTCTTGCTAGCATCTACAACACAGTTAAGATCAATACAGTCATGAAAAATTTATGCAAACGACCTGGATTCCGTTTCACTGTTTTATCTAGCATGCAGTGCGACAACTGCAGAGGTTGGTTCCACGAAGCGTGCACAGATCTCACAGCAGCTGCTTACAACAGACTCAGCAAGTCGGATCAGAAGTGGGAATGTGTTGCGTGCAGCACGGATGCTGCAGTCGTGCTGAGTAATATCATTGTCCTACTGACAGGTCTACAGAGTAAGTTGTCGGCAAACTTGAGAAAAGACAGTCAAAAATGGGTAAACAAACAAGAGAGCTCATTGAAAACGAGAACATGGATATCGACAGGTCTACCAACGACGGAGCATGCAACAGCATTAATGATGACACGCTGAAACTCGGCACCATGATTACGACGACGGTACTCGACTCCCTCAGCAAACTCGGGTCTCACAGCTCAAGGTCCTTGAACACGACTGTGGTTCCCAAAAATTCTGTAGGTAGTTGGACCCATGTCAAAAGAGCTAAAAAGGACGAGGCGTCGCAGTCTAAGTTGAACATCCCAGCTGTTGATCCTGATGATTTTCTCGTAGTCATAACTTCAAAGAGAACCCTGACCTTCTTCTCAGTTTGCAGGGCGAAAATGATAGAATGCTCTGGGGAGAATTGAACAAGAAACTTGGACTTCCAAGAATAGAGCCTTTGACAGTCACACGGCTCACTCGGGGAAAGGAATGTCAGCATCAAAATTACCCGAGGCTACTTCGTGTAACACTTAAGAATGCTACCGACGTAGAGGATGTCTTACTAGCGAGTCATTTACTGAAATCATATGGGAATGTAAGAATACTGCCTGACATACCGTATTCTGAGCGCAATCTCATCCGAAACATCCCCAGAGAAACTCGCGATCAGTTTTTCCAGGTGAGGACTATCATCGTGCAAGGTATACCGAAAAATACGGACCCTACTCAATTAAAGACTGACATCAGGGAATAGAAATTCATCAAACAGTCCTTGAGGCTCAAAAACATACTGACTCAGCATGTGGCGAGACTAGTCAAGAAGGATGGTGATTCTAGTATAGCGGCTGCAACTCTGGAAGCATTTCGTGCCAACAGACGTCGACTGCCACCTGGAATCCACATGCACCCGGATAGGCCATACGAAACTAGGACCAAACGCAAAGGCAAGTTGGGGCTGATCATTCCACTTATGGACTGTCCAGACGATAAAAAGCGTGTGAAGGACAGGGCCTACCACCTCGGCAAACCTCATATAAGTGGGCTACCTGTCCATTCACGTAAGGCTCATACGAACAAACAGGAAGAAGCTCATGCGTTCCAAATTGAAAGCATTAACTGCTTATATATGAACGCAGCGAGTCTACGAAACAAATTGGATGAACTACGTGAAATTAGCAATACTAATAAAGCCCATCTGATAGGAATATCTGAAACCTGGATATCTTCTCAGTTCTCGGACCATGAGTTAGCATTGCCTGGGATGTCTTTGTTCCGCAATGATAAAAAATCAGGATTTGGGGGCGGAGTAGCTGTTTACATACGTTCTTGCTTGGAGGTGCATCAAGTTCATAACCTCGAGTTTAACAATCTTGAGGAATCTATATGGTGCTCTGTAAGATTGTCCAGTACTTCGAGGTGTCTAGTCGGAGTCATTTACAGGAAGCCAACTGCCGACATCGATTACGATAGTCGTATGCTGGAAGGACTATCCCGCTCTACTCGTCTCGGTTTCACACACATCCTGATTCTAGGGGACTTTAATCTCCCTAGAGTCAACTTCGCGGAACACACGTATACTGCAGGCGATAACTCGATTGAAGCTCGGCTCTTCAACCTCATCGATGACTTGGGATTGTACGAAAATGTGAGGTCGGCAACTCGTTGGAGAAACAGTCAGAACCATCGCGCTTAGACTGCGTATTCACTAACGAAGAATTCATAGTCGACAACCTCTCAATCCTGGCTCCTCTGGGAAAGAGCGATCATGCCGTCATAGCCTTCAGTTTTGTCATCAAAACTAAGCTAAGGTATCCCAACAATAATTTGCGTTGGAATTTTAAACGGCTGAATGTGCCAGCTCTACATGACTATCTACAACAGGTGGTTTGGGATGTTCACCCTCAACTCGATGTGGATGGTCACTGGGACTTCTTACTGCACACGCTCTTATGTGCTACAGACCATTCAGTTCCTCAAACGGTTCCCAAAAGCTGCAAGCCACCTACAGTAATCAAGAACCGTACCCTTCGCCTGCTAAGCCGCAAAAGGCACTGTTGGGCGGAATACAAACGAACTAATAACGATGGAGCGTATAGGCAATATAAACATATCAGGAACATATGCACCAAGGCTATAAGAGAAGACAGGCTTCAGTACCAAACAAAGCTTATGGACAAATTCGCCTCTAACCCTAGAAGCCTATTCCGTTATGCAGCCTCTCTTCGTCAAGCCAAAACAGGAGTTTCTCAACTGCTAGGTCTTAACGGCCCGACCAACAACGATGGCGATGCCGCTAACCTTCTGGCGGCACATTACTCTCAAACATTTCAACCGGCTGACATCAACTTTATTGACGACAGTTTCATCTGCAATTCCACAGGACTTTCTGAAGTGGACCTAAGCGCTGACTTGGTGTTCCGGAAACTGCAGCACTTAAGACTTGACACTTCTCCTGGCCCGGATACGGTTCATCCTGCCATACTGAGGGAGGCAGCCTCAATCCTGGCAACGCCGCTTAGCGTGATGTTCTCACACTCGCTAAGTCGAGGGAAACTACCGGAAAATTGGAGGCTGGCTCACATCACACCAATTTTCAAAGGAGGTTGACGCAGCGAACCTTCAAGTTACCGACCAGTGGCTCTTCTCTCCATACCTTCAAAAATCGTGGAGTCCCCGATATGCGATGGTATAAATGACTATTTACTGTCCTTAAATTTCTTCTCACCCCAACAGCATGGTTTCAGGAAGGGTTACTCTTGTATTACCAACCTGCTGACTGCGGTGGACAGATGGACAAGCATCCTTGATCACAAGGGGAAGGTTGATATCGTCTACCTGGATTTCTCAAAAGCTTTTGATAAGGTTAACCATACATGTCTTATCAATAAGCTCAAACGACTGGGTATCAGACCACCTCTAATCGATTGGCTCACTTCATACCTGAAAAATCGACATTATAAGGTCAGGGTTAATTTCACTTTATCTCAGGCTATGGAATGTCCTAGTGGGGTCCCCCAGGGTTCAGTACTAGGGCCTCTTCACTTTTTGATCTACATAAATGATCTTCCTCAACAGGTAACGTCAGACTCATTAATTTTTGCCGACGATGTGAAACTTTGGAGAAAGATACGCAACCGAGATGATATACAGGCCTTTCAAGAGGGTCTGACTCGACTTCAAAGTTGGGCAGACGATAATGGACTTACCTTTAACACTTCGAATTGTAAAGTAGTCCATCTGCAACATGTCGCAGACGACAGTTATAACTTAGGTAACTCCTCTCTGGTAGTATCCCAAGTCGAAAAAGATTTAGGAGTCCTGGTGGCCTATGTTTAAAGTCTTACGCTAACTGTGACAAAAATGCCTTCCGAGCAAACCTTGCATTGGTAACATTAGAGCGCATTTTTGACCAGGTTGACGGAAGAACTTTCCACACAATCTTCAATAGTTTATCCGTCCCCATTTAGAGTACGGAAACGTAGTACTTCCCTCCTCACTCCAAAAGGATAAGGACACCTTGGAGCGTATCCAACGGCGAGCCACGAAATCAGTTCGAGGACTCAAATCTAAACCTTACGAAGAACGCCTCCATTCACGAGACCTTTACCCATTAGAGTATAGGCGTCTTAGAGGTGACTTATTAATGGCTTATAGTATTCTTAACACTTCTGGACATCCTCTTAAACACCTACTTAAGCTTAGTTCGAATAATAACCTAAGGGGTTACACCCAGAAACTGGAAACACAACATAGCAGAACGGACTGTAGACAGAACTTCCACTCCTTAAGAGTTGTCAAATGCTGGAATGCGCTGCTGGCCGAGCTAGTCCAAGCGGCTTCCCAGGAGTCTTTTAAGAGGCAACTTGATCTATTCTAAAGGACTAAGGATAGTATCACACTATGATTTACTAATTTCTTTTCCTCTTTTATTGTTAACATACCTAGGTTCCTGCCTGGAGGATTTCGTGATCCCCTGCTACTAGACACGGAAGCCTGTTAAGCGAAAGCTTCTTCTATTCTGTTTATAACCGTTTGAAACATTTGAATCATTGTGTGAATGTGAAGGAAGCAGTCACTTTATATCAGGTTCATGGAAAAAATATTGGAGATTTGGCACCGCGACGATTTTCAACTTGTGCGGTACTTCATCTCAATCTTACTATGTGCAATGAATTTCCTATTGTAAGTTGCACATGGAGTTACAACTGCATCCGCTATAACATGGACCTTAAGTGTACAGTTTTTGTTCATACTTCGATTTGGATAAAATATGAGAGTGCTTATTCCATGTATAAAATAAGTGCTAGTTTTTGAATCATGTCTGTTCCCTACCAAACTCTTTTATGGATTACACTAAACCAATTTAGGTTAATTAAGTCAATATCACTTTGCTCGCGTTAACAAATAATTTGCAAGGATTTGCAGGTACTACAAACAAATAAATGGAAACTAAGTTCTGTCGTAGAGCTATCAGGTTTGTTGAATGAAGTCCGTCTTCATCAACATAGGATTAAGTTCAATTTTCCACAGGCTCGTATCACAGACTTATGAAATCAACTAGCTGCACAACAAATAATCTGAAGCTGTGATATTATTAAGGCTTCAACATTGAGGACATGATTCAAAACTCATTGTTAATAGCATGGGGCGACTATAAATGTGGTATCCAGACCACAGCATTTAATAAACCGGAGTAATACGGCAGCCAGTTCTTAGCTGTATCTTGTAAGGTCTTCGACCTCAGACAGATTTGTGCTTTGTGGATGGATGGTAGGGAGTCTATAAATCCTTTCCTTCACCTCTCTTACCTCTTAAACGAGCTGATTAAAAGTGTAGACACTCCTCCTTCTGGCACAAAATTCAAGCGTTCATTACGCAGTGATAAAAAGTCTACACGCCTTGTAGATCCTGTTCATTCTTGGCTCTTCCCATACCCTCCAACTTGTCCTGACCTAGGTGGAAGACAGAAAGAGAATTAATTAGTCCTAAGTTCATTCCTTACCATCTTTTACGTCATAAATAAATCCTCTCTCAGTTCTGTGTCATCTTTTAAGTAAGGACCTGGAAGTAGTACACATTTTAAATTTAGCCCCCATAAGGGTTGTGGAAAACTTAGTGAACGGAATTGTACTTGACTTTGTAAATGTTAGTCTTGACATCCTTTCAGCTGCAACTTCACATCAAGGAGCTGTAGTCGTAACACTTAAATGTGTTGTGACCATAAGTCAGGGATAAAGTCAGGAGTTTCTCTAAATTTGCAGTTACGGCCGTTTGTGTCCATTGTCCATGGTGACGCTTTTAGTTTTATTAGCAAATATTAACTATAGCTTGGACCAGCCTACCAGAATTTCGTGGTCTGCATAGAATGGATTTACACGATCTGACCGTAACTTGATGTTATCGCCATAAAGTAGCATTGGTGTAGCATGATAATGTAGGTTCGTTGACATAGAGAATAAATAACAGTAGGCTCTGATGTACTTTTCTAACTTCTGGTATCCAGTAAGAGATGTTGCAATCAGCTTAGACTTTCTGTGGGTGACCGACCAAAATGTCTCTAAACTACCTAAACAAGTATTCGAAGATTCCTAAACTCGCCAGTTTCACTAAGAGCCTATTATACGGAAGCCTATCGAAGGCTTTTTTAATGTTTATTGGAATTATATCCAATGACTTTTTGCTATTTAGTTAATCTGCTCAGGTATGCTTGGTCGGTAAAAGATTTATCATATGCTGTCGACCATTTCTGAAGCCATGCCGCTAACGTTTTAGTAAGCTGTGGGTGTTTATAAAGATTATAGTATTCTTTATAATGACTGAAATGTATTGATTGCAACACAAGTGAGACTTAGTCTGTATTTGGACAGATGTTATTTATACTCCGTCCCATGTGTCGGAGTGACTGTCGCATCTTTCTAGTCTTGGTAACACACTAACTGAGTGACATTTCGAATATCGTGGTGAGGGAAGGCAGCCACTTATATCCCAAGTTGTGATGTGATATGATGTAATGGATGAGAAATGGGCGAGACTATAATTTACTGACGAACCAATCACATGTAAGATGACAGAACTCGGATTTTCGCGTGAAATTCACTCATCTGTTTGGCTAAGTAGAGTTTTGGCATTAAAACTGATGTCAGTTCATGATGAAAGCCCTAAATCTAATTTCTGATCTAAATCATAAACTGCAAATCATAATTCCAATTCCTCACATGGGTTTATAACCCTCATTTGGTCCTGGTTATCAGGTGGACACTCTCAAGGTCAATCTCGTCGCTCAAAGGTCTTCTGTAAATTATAGTCTCACCGGTAGCTCATCCATCCGTATTGATTTTTCCGTATCCAAATAGCCTAATGGATTCAACACACCATCTGTAAAAAGAAGGAGGTTATGAGTAAAGACGTTGCCTGAGTAATTGCACATGGCTTCTGCTTTGTTCTAGTCATCTTCTATCGTCTGAGAAACTTCCTTAATTATAACGGAAATCCATTGGTTCGTTTTTATCTTGTAATCAACATAGAAGAGTAGTGGCATTGTATGCCTTATTACTTATTTATTATATTTATTTGAACACGTAAATATTAGTACAAGAGGGCACCAAATATATATGCGCCACACATGCCTTATTAAAATTCGTGAGAGTTGATTTCCACGTTTCTTTCGTGAGTTACGGATTTGGTAAAGTTCCCTTGAATCAACTGTACGGAGACTGACAATGATGTCTCTCTATTCTTTTCTTTAGTTGCAAAAAGCATTAAATTTTATGGCTAATGCAGAGTCGTTCTTGCTTTTGGGTCTTTCCAAGGTATAAATATTGGCTTTAGTTTCTGGAAACGACCCCATACCTCTCCAACTGATGCTCTGTAGTCCTTTGTCCAGTCTTAGGAAGAGGCAGTGGTCACTTCTGCAAATAATTGAGAAGGGATTACGTCGAATAACATTGTGTTCGTGAGTGAGAATTAAGTCAGTGATAGTGTTTGTAAGTCATTTCTGATAAGATCTCTAATATTCTGAACTAGAGTAAGATTGGTTGACAATGGTTCCTGATCAGACGAGCTTGCTGAACCTTTTTGATCTAGAACGGAGCTTATCAAAAACGAGACTATTTGCTGTACATTCGAAGCTGCGACATAATACTAACAGTTTCATGTCCTACTTTATATTTTAGCCGATACATCACCGATTAAAATGTTTGTGAATCACATGTCACTGTCTCAAGAGTTCGTATAGTTAAAACATTTTTCTAGTAAAGGATAGAACGGTAATCTCTACGACTTATTCTGTCAGTTCCACAGTTCGAGAATCGAGTCAGTGCCATTTAATTGTGGCTTATTTCTGATATTAATCATAATTTTCGGACCAAAATAACATCAGGACATTCAGCGACTACCATGTTTCTGATCTCCACCTTATTTGAAATACCATAAGGATTGACATAACGTATTTCTTTGAGGATAATTTATATAAAAAGCCAATAGTTTCTTTATGGTCATCGAAAATGTATCGGGTAATTAAGGACATCAACGATTTAATTTTAATGATAAGCTCTCATGAAATTATTTCAGATATTGATAATAACACTGACTATCATATTCATGTTCTCATATGTGATACGAAACATCTACTGTGCTGCAGTTCGCTCTGTTCGGCTTTAACTGTGAAATGTCTAAAAATAGAGTATATTCATAGGTTACTGGTATTCAATCTTACGTGTCCTCGAATAAATTGTTTGGAACATCAAGTTAGAAATTCTAAGGTTATATGCATAGTACTACGTTAGTATGGCAAAACGATTGACGATTTAGTGGATCATTATCGACTGAGGTACCTGGGACATGTATTAAATATGACCATCCACCGACTACGTCGATGGGCAATGATGACTGGTGTAGAGAGTGAATGACATGACTCAGAGTCGTTCACTGTAGCTTAGGTGCGTTCACACTTTGTTTTCCCTTAAACCTCAAGTATTGAACTGTTTACAAATACTTTATATTTCACTAAATTTATATTTTCTCGAATAGTGTGTTTGATGTCTAATCTTTTCTGTTGCCACATCTACCACTTTTGAATTTGCCCTGATAGTGTTAACTTGATGTACTGATGAGGTTATTAATTTATTCAAACACAAATATTGGCACAAAAATGCACCAAATCTATATGCGCCACATAAGTCATTCGATTTATGCGAGGGCTGGAGTACTCCCCGGGCACCCAAACTGAAGCAAGTGGTTTTCTTAGGGGGTCACAGCCGGTGCCTTCCATCTAAAGGTCTGATCCACAAGGTTGTGGAGCAACGTCAGGAAATGCAATCCCATGGTAGCCGGTGATCAACGTTTGGTTCACACACCATTTGTTTCCTCAGGACCCTGGGGTCCATGTGCATCACATGTTTGGATTGAGCGTTCTCCAGCTGCCATAGGTGAATACTTTATATCCACCAACCCGAGTAAAGCGCCGGACATTCGCTTTTCGTCCTCTTAATTCTGCAAACAACACCCCCACCGCGAGGAAGCAATATTAGAACTTCCCTGACCGAGGCTTTATACACATGGTCATGTGAGGGCATTTCAAGAGGAAGAGCTGACTCTCTCCACTTCTCAGCCGTACCAGTGTATATCGGGGGCAAAAATGAATGGAGGTTAGCAGTGGAATTCAGGACGCACATTTCATCGTATTTGAGACTTGTCAACAAGATGTATCTGCATCCTAGAATTGATATTCTTTGCGGAACTCAAACTGAATACTGTTCGCTTCATATACTATTATTTTATCCACTTACCTACTAAATATGACAACAACGGATGTGCATATTCCCGAAGTTCTACATTGTATGTAATTGATCTATGAAATTCATTAAGTGTTAACTAAATTGTCCGTTATCACCAAGTTCATATTATTCATATATCATCGAACGTTAAGTTCAATCAATCCTTTTTTGTAACATATAAGTGATTTGATTTTACCAGAAGGGGTTTTGTGGAGATTTTAGAAATTTCACTGATTGAAATCATGAGTTGATTGAAGCTAGACCACCATGGGAAACCTGGAAGCACTAAACGGCCGTTTCGTCCCAGTATAGGACTCCTCAGCAGTGCGCATCCACGATCCCGCACCAGGTCTGTTGTGAGATATCAACTCACTGAAGACAATAGTGTACGGTGGCGCAACTTCGTGGATTGGTTGAAGTTAGACATTAACACCGTTGGATGCCGGCCAGCTCAGTGGGCTAGTTGGTTAAGCGCCTGGTGCGAAGCTGATTGGCCCTGGGTTCGAATCTCGCGGGGTTCGGGATCGTGGATGTGCATTGCTCAGGAGTCCCATACTAGGACGAAACGGCCGTTCAGTGTTTCCAGGTTTCCCATGATGGTCTAGCTTCAATTGACTCATGATTCCAATCAGTGAGATTTAATTTTAATCATTTCGATTGCATATATATTACAATATATTATAAATCCCCTATGTTTATTTTGTTGTTGTTGTTGTTGTTTTTGAAAATTACAACCTACTTACCTCATATTAACATACGATTATTGTTAATTGTCAAAGTACGGTGCAAAAATAGTACAATCTGTATATATAGTTGTGTATATTGATCTGTTCACATGATGACTTCTTTATTATTATAGAAGAGAGAGAAAGAAAAAACAAACTATTTTAATGATATGCATAATATGAAATTATCTAATTCATTAACTTTGATTGAATAATTAAATGAGCCAATAAGTGTACATATGAATGTCAGCTTATATCTCTCTATATATATATACATCTTGTTTTGTTTTGTTATACTAATTCTTTCATTGTCATTATTCATATTCTAATGAAGAAAGTCACAAGATACATTTATCATATAAAAAGGATTATAAATAATATAAAGAAAAGAAATTAAAACTTTTTTTTATTATTTTCTTTCAGTTGATCCTTTTCTCTCTTTTTTTGTCTTCTTTTATTCTTTTTTTTTCGTTGTTGCTGTCGTTGTTGTTGTTGTTGTTGTTACTAACTGACAAACTTCTTTTATTTATATTTATGTGCATATCATTATTTTGATAAGAGTATTAGTATTATTATCATCATCATCGTCATCATCATCATCATTGTTACCTATTAAATTTACACTTGTTATATATTGAAATATCCATTCAAAAACGTGTTCAATTCAGTGTTTTATGTGCATGTAGGTTGGTATATTTTGTGTATATTCTCTACTGTATGATATATATATATATATATATGCCTATAGTTATATAACTTCCGTACAATATACTAATGATAATATGTTATGATATAATAATAGTACATAGAGTTATTGTTTTATATTTATAATGGATTATATGCTTAATATTAAATTATTATCACAACTTTTTAGCGGTAATCGATTATGCAGCAAAACATTCAAACCACGTAAAAATATCTCTGAAACTAATAATAATAATAATCCTTCTACTAATACAAGTAATCATAATCCTACTATTGGTAATAATAATAATAATAATCATGATGTCAATGGTAAACAAAATGATTTATTACCAGAAACTGCTGCAACATTGGGTAGTGGAGATTTACGTTTAGCTGTTCGTCTACCTGAAGGTGAAGATCTACATGAATGGATTGCTATAAACAGTAAGTTTAGTATAGTTTATTCTATTTAATAATATTACTGATTTGTTAATTGTTTCATTGATAATATATACAAATAAGTTTATACTATTGTATTTGTTAATCTATATTGATTGACTGGCTATCTAGAGAAATAGTATCTGTTTAGTTTATAAAATCATTTACTGTTAATCTGAACCATAATCGTAAATACAAACCATTTGATTATAGTCCATAGGATAACCATAACTAATGATTGGAGAATTTGAGTGATAAAGCTTAGAATTGTTTTATCATGGGAAAGATATATTCACTCTTTTTCTTCCTCTTTGAATTCCAATCATTTTTTTGTTTGAAAAAATACCTTTCCATTCAGTCTTTTCAAACCAGATTTTCAATATTTAGTCTTTGTAGTTATGATTGCCACAACATTATTTCGATATTGTTTACTACCCATCTTGTCAATCTTCTCTCGTTGTGCTAATATGTCATGAGGGCTTGGATCAACTCATATTCCTGTTAGGTTCTACATTGATGATGTTTATATAGTATCTGGGTTTATGTTAATGCGTCGTCGGTAATAATAGATGAAGTAATGAATTGTGTTAGTTAATTCATTTAACTTGGACATTTTATCATCTTTTTTGGATTGTGGTTATTGACGAAATCCCTGCATGATTTTGTTACTTTATCTTCACTATGAATGTATTCACTAAACAACTACAATTCACTACATAGAACTTAGTTTGTTAGACTGCTATGCACAGTACGTATGATAACTGACTCTTAATGACACTCCTGCAATTTCGAAGCGAAGGATTTAAAACTGTTGAATCAATTGTTAAATGTGAAGATTGTATTGAATTATTTTTAATATCGATCATAAAAAACTTATAACCTGGCATATAGGTTGAAGTTGCTACACCGCATCAGTACAGCGAGATGAATATCTCAGTATTAGAAGTAATAGTTTAGTGAACAAGAACACCAGTGGGGACAATAGAATGTATTTAACACAAAATTACAGGACTTGTTGATAAAATCTAAAAATCATAAAGTAAATGCTTAATTTGCAAAATGTCCACCAATTGTCTCAAAATGACTCGGACTTTATTGTTCTTGCATTTTCATACAAATTGGATTCTGTTCCCATTCTTTACTGTTCGATCCTCTTGTCTCTCTGCTGCCAGACCTTCTGTTCACGACTAACATGATCTACTACTTATGTCAATATAAGTAGCACACACCACAGCAGCAGTAGTAGTATGGTGTATGCTCTTATGTCTACAAGTATAAGTATCATGTAACACCAGTCGGAAGTGAAATGTATGGGAGCAGTACATTAAGAGGATTGAAACAAAGAGAACAGAGAAGGAAACTGAAAACAATCCAAATAAAAACAGGAATGAAAGAACAATAAAGTTTATAAGAGACAATTCAAAGAAGATGTGCAAATGATGTATGATTATCACATTTTACTAAACCACTATTTGATGATTGTGCATTAAACAATAAGTTGATCTTCATCATCTAAGTGTTCGTTCGTTAAAATTGCAATAATATCTGTGACAATAAAAAATTAACGGTACTAACTGTTATAACTTGTGGGTTAATGCATAACGTAATGATACCGCCAATTACAGCGGAGTGAATTATCGACCGGACCAATTATGCATAGAACCCTTACGAGCAGTCTAGATTCTTTACCGGTCCTGCTTCACGCCTAGCCCTGCCTGTTAAGTTCAGAACATCAATCTCAGCCTCTGCAAGATCACTCATGTATTTAAAATACTAGGTTTATATACATCAGCCAAACAGACCACACCTTACCATAAAATAGAAAATAATATTTGTACAAGATTTAGCCAAAAGTGGCTGTGATTGTGGGAGATAGTAATAGATAGACTGGGAGTGAAGTAGTTGAACGTGTCGACCGCTTCATTTATCTGGGAAGTCTTATCAGCCCTTGTGGTCTGGTGTGTGACAAAATCTCAGCACGGATACAGAAGGCTCGACTAACTTTTGCCAACTTGCGTCATTTATGGCGTAGGCGAGATATCCGTCTATCAACCAAAGTATGTGTTTACTGCGCAGCAGTTCGTTCCGTCCTACTTTCTGGCAATGAAACATGGCCGGTAAAAGTAGAGGATATTCGTAGGTTACTAGTATTTGATCATAGGTGTCTTCGAAACATTGCTCGTATATCCTGGGACCATCGAGTAAGTAGCGCAGCTGTTAGGAAACGAGTAATAGATGAGGATGGCAAATTAATTGATGAAGTAGTAAAACCTCATCAGTAGAGATGTCTGGGACACGTGTTATGTATGCCCAACCACCGACTGCCTCGACGTGCGATGTTCAATGGTATAGGATTAGGTTGAAAGAAAGGTAGGGGCGGCCAGACCAAAGCATGGCACAAGTCTATGAGCTGAGCCATGTTGGTACGTGTAGACTACCTGGTTGGGATCCGCGAGATGATAGCAACCGATGGTTAGAGACCCTGAATGACATAGCTCAAAATCGTTTGCGATGGCGCAGGTGCATCCACTTTTCGTGTTCTCCCGAATTCTAATGTTCTGAATTCTTCATGTCCTTTTTTTCCTCTTTCCAAATTTATCTTACTGGATTATGCTCTTTAAATGACATCTTCAAACCCTAATGTTTCCGATTACTGCTTATACTCTTGCTACCTCTACCACTACGGGATTTGAATCGACAACTGCATCTCTGTTCTAATATGGTGTGTCAACTCGAAATGATGTACGTACGTACGAAGTTCTACGTTGTTACTGAATGACAGACTGGGCATCAATCAAAAAATGGTGAATCGTATAATATTAGTTCATAGATCAAAATAAAGCTCATAATAAGAGGGATATGAATATGAATAGTTTAGCTACTTAACAATTATACAATAAAAATATACGTATAGTATTAGTCCATAACTAGATCCTAACAATTATCATTCATCATTCTCATCGGGATTTAATCCATTAAAATCTACAAACTCTATAAAAAAAGAACTGGATCATTGAATCTTAAGTTTAAGTCTTCTTAAGAATTTATGTACTAAAACGAAGATTTCTTTTTGATTCTTTCTTCCTATACTATATCCTTATTTCAACCTTTGACCTAACCACTCCTATGAATCCGCTGTTCATCTTGCTGTGCTAATGAGGTATGGCAACCTGGACCGATGCACATATGTGCCTGGTCCTACGTTGTAGCTGACTGACTGACTGACATGGTAGTAGTGAAATAGAGTCAGAGCATGACATGCCGTAATGTTTATGAAATCACTGAATATGAGACTGAAACATGTTAGAATGGCTAAAGATCATTTTGATCAATTAATGTGGAAGTTGAATGACATATCTCACAATTAGCGGTAACATTCTAGACCCATTCGTTATATCCCTAGATTTTGAGTTTTAAAACTATCTTCTGCGGTTTATTGCTAGAATTCATTCTCTATCCCTGTATCATATTTTTTATGTGCAGTATTTTCTATTACCACTTGTACTGTTTTAATTACTTACTAGTTTACTTACGCCTGTTACTCCCAATGGAGTATAGGCCGCTGATAAGCATTCTCCAACCCATTCTGTCCTGGGCTTTCCTTTCTAGTTCTATTCAACTGTTATCCATTCTTCTCATGTCTGTCTTCATTTCTCGGTCTAATGTGTTCTCCGGTCTTCGTCTTTTTTTTTAACCTTGAGAATTCCATGCTTACCTTGTGACGTAGTTTGGTGCTTTCCTCAATGACTTGTACCGTTACTACTCATATAATATATATATCCAATTCATCACCGAATTGAATGAAAATGTAAAACTGACATTGAATGAGTTATTATTAACCACTTCCAACCAAGAAGTCGTAATCACTATCGGTTGAACTTAAATATTCTAAGTTCACTTACCCTTCTACGTAGGTTATTCATTCAATATACATTACTAAAATGATTTGATTGATTTTAAATATCAAGTTTTCTTTAAAAAATCTCAAATCATGGTCCGATTTGTTTAAATTTTGTGTGTTTTAGTACTTCTCTTATTTATTTAAACACATAAACATTGATGAAAGGAGGCACCAAATAGATAAATCAATCGATTTATGTGAGGGCTGGGATACTACCCGGGTGCCCAAACCGAAGCGGCTGGTTTCCTTAGGGGGCCACACTCGCAGCCTTTGACTTAAAGGTCTAATCTATAAGGCAATGACGCAACGTTAAAGAATACAGTCCCATTTTAGCCGGTTTTCAAAAGTTGGTTCATACGCCATTTGTTCCCTCGGGATATTGGAGCTTATGTGCACCATTTGTTTAGAATCAGGGTTTTCCAACTCCCCTACGTGGACTCTCTGTGTCTACTATCCCGGTTAAAGCGCGGTTCATTCGCTTTTCTTCCTCTCAATTTCGTAAATAACAGTAATACCATGGGAAGATAGTGAGTAGTACTCCCCTGGTAGTGGCTATATGCGCGTGGCCATTTGTGAGCATTTCTCGAGGGAGAGCCGACTCTCCCTACTGCCGGTCGTACCAGGGCATTTTGGAGCGTGTATTAGTAACTAAATACTAGTGGGTTATACTTAACTTCTCGCAAAACACATACCAATCTAATAATCGCTATCTTTAATTTGAATAATTCGTCAGTGTAGTGTGATTTTATCGTTTTCAAAGACCCATTCATGACTTACTGAATAGTAAAATAACACTTGTATTTGTAAGGGCTTGAATCTGCTCGTTGTTGATTTCCAAGACTTCAGTTAATCAATTTCTTTTGACATATATATATGTTGAGTGGAAGTGCCTCAATATTACCAGATATTCACAAGTATTTAAGTAAAATTGGATAGTAACTATCAGTAGGATTCAGGAAGCGCTTTTCTTTCTATTTAGGACTTGTATCACAGTGTTATTGTTCACATTGGGACTCTAAGCTGTCATTTTTCACTTCAACTAACTAACGCATCATTCACTGAATTATTAAGTTCATTTGTATTGAATTACTTGCGATTTTATGAGAATATTGAGGCAATCAGTTCAGTATTACATACATCCCAAGGAATATTGATCATCATCATCATCATCAAACGCTTATAAAATAATTGAAATTCATCCCTGTTTCATAAACTAACGTTTATTTAGACCTAATAACGTTTTGTTTACATTGACATTAGGTTTGAGTCTCGGTGTAAACATCAACACTGAGATCTAGGTACATACAACTGACGAGTCTCGAATAATACGAATTACCAGTCTTAATTTCTAGTACTAGTAACTATCCATTTTTTCACTTAAGTAGAGTTATAAAAGTTTACTATTATTGGTAGCGTTGCCATCATCAACTTGTTTGATGATTTTTTTTTGTGACAAAACGATTACATATTCTACTCTGATGTATACATTATTGAATTACGTACACACACACACACACATGTATATCAACTAAAGATGATGACGTTGATGATCATATGCATCAATCTTACAAAGATTAACAAAACTATTCATCAATAGACCAATTATCAATGTTCTCTTAATTCATAGATTAAAATCACATGTTCTTCTTGTGCATTTTACATTTGATCTAAATTTCATAATTTTTATTCATCAATAAACATTGATTATATACGAATTCTTTTGTTTTTTTCTCAATCATCTTCGTAGATGTTTGTTTGTTTGTTTGTTTTGTTTTTGAAACAATTTTATAAATTGTTCAATTCCATATGATTACTGTATGTGATTAAGATCATAGCAACAATAAAATACATACATATTAATTAGTCTAATCTCTCCCTTATCTTACTCTTTGTCTCTCTCTCTCTCTCTCTCTCTCCTTTACCCCTATTTGTTACCATGTTACTACTAATTATGTCTTATTTGTTAACTTGTCAAAGAAACAGCCAAAAAAAATAACAAGAATTCAGTTATTTTCAATGCCATATGATTTGAAATGTGAATCAATTAATGAAATAGAGCCTTATTGATTACATAAATACATTATTACTAATTCATTACTATTAAATAAAATAGAATTTGTATTCATTTCGAAGAGCTACAGTTGATTAGTTTAATTTCTTTTTTTTGTATTTTGAGTAGAGATTACTTCAGTATTGTTATTTAGTAACCGGGTCTGTTGTAAGATAGTAACTCGCTGATGACAATGGTGGATGTGTCGCTTAATTTCGTGGATTATTTAAAGTTAGACATAAACACCGTTGGATGCTAGCCAGTTCAGTGGTCCAGTAATTAAGCGTTCGCGCGTGAACCTGATAGGTCCTTGGTTCAAATCCCGCGAGGCGGGGTCGTGGATGCGCATTGCTGATGAGTCCCACAATAGAACGAAACGGCCGTCCAGTGCTTCCAGGTTTCTCATGTTGGCCTAGCTTCAAGTGACTCATGATCTCAACTATTGAAATTACTACAATCTCCACAAAACCCCTTCTGAGAATTCTAATTTTCATATACAGTATTCTATTAGTTGACTTTAATTTTCTTTTCTTTTTGATTTTTAGTTGTTATCTAACATTTCTGAACTGATACTGTATTTTAATCTTATTGGTTCTTATCACTAATGATGTATTTGTTTAGTTATTGAGACTATTATTTTATGCATGCTGAATAATGGTAAATCAGTTGATGAGGTTGTAAATCTTCATCGACTGAGATGGTTGGGCCACGTGTTACGTATGCCTGAACATCGATTACAACCACGTGCTCAAAGTTTCAGTGTTAGGACCCCTAAGAAACCACTTGCTTCGGTTCGAGTTCTCGGGGAGTATTCCAACCCTCACATTAATCGAATGATTTGTGTGGCACATATATATTTGGCGCCTTTTTGTATCTGTTTATAATAATAATAAATAAATGTCATACAATAGATTAAATAATTATGTAAGAACTCAAGATGAACTAGTGCATATTATCTCTGCTTAGTTTCATAATTCTAACTAACTAAACTAAAGAGTATGGAACGTATTATTATAACATATGGTTAAGGTTTTGTTAAACTTAAAAGCATCTAAACTTTACAGTTAGTAATGTACTTTACCACATATTCTTTAAGTTGAATGTATTTTTTCAACAATTTACAGGTGGTCACCTATTCATATTTACTCTTATGTAATGATAAAATATATTCTTTTTTTGGTGATATTTCAATGAGTAGAAAATTGTATTTTTAATGTTTTGTAACTTAAATTAAGCCACTTCTTCAGAGTAAATAAACAACTCACATAAAATTAACATAAATTTAAATAGTAAAAGAAAAGAAAGAATGAAGAATATTTTTAGTATTCTTATGTATTTGAGAAAATCTCCACAAACTATTTTGGTATTATATGTAGTGCGTTGTGGTATAAAATATTGTTGTATAGATATACCGTTTATCAATCTTTCTTGGCTACCTCCTCTAGTTGATGTCGTAGAGATAGTATAACTTATCAGTTTAAGATTTTGCTAGTTATGGGTTAGAATAGAATCTAATGACAGTCTTATTCTAGTTTTGTTATGTTACACGATGTCCTATTCTGATATTAATACACAAACTTTATATACACATGTCCAACTAACTACTAAGCAAGAATCTTGGAAGTGAGAATATATCTATCTATCTTTGTCCCTTAGAAAATTAAGTCAGATCTTGACCAATAGCATGCACTTATCATTTGATTGACTCAAAGTATTAAGTTGATTGTTATATTATTCATGTAAATAAAATGAATTTTCTTCAGATAAAATAAACTATTTTCAATTTCACTTCAAGTGAATCATATCTTTCCTCTATCAATATTTCCCTATTGTTTCCCTTTACAATATTATCATTTTGCTTAGTATAGCGTTTAACTATTCTAGAATAACAAAGATCTTTAACTGTAGAATCAGTTAACTTGAATTATATAACTAATTTATTCATGCTGTATTAGTCAACCTTACTTACTTACGCCTAATAACCCTCATCGAGGAGCACAGGCCACCCACCAGCATTCTTCATCCAACTCTGTCCTGGGCTATCCTTTCCAGTTTTTATTCATCATTTTCATATCTACTTCTATTTCCCGACGTAATGTGTTCTCTGACCTTCCTCTTTTCCACTTCCCTTCAGGATTTCAAGTTAGGGCTTGGATCCTGATGCCTTTTGATGATTTCCGTAATATATATCCTATCCACTTCCGTTGTCTTTTCTTAATTTCCTCTTCAACTGGAAGCTGGTTTGTTCTCTCCTATAGAAGACTGTTGCTGATAGTATCCGGCCAATGTATGTTGAGTATCTTGCGTGAACAACTATTTATACATACTTGTACCTTCTTGATGGTGGTTGTAGTAGTTCTCCACATTTCAGCTCCGTACAATATGACTAACTGTCTTGACGTTTGTATTAACGATTCTGACTTTGATATAAGCTGACAGTTGTTTGGAGTTCCATATGTTCTTCAATTGTAGAAATGCTGTCCTTGCTTTACCAATCCTCGCATTTACGTCTGCATCTGATCCTCCTGTTATTCAAACTACTGTGACACTAATATGTCATCGTGCTGCTGGATTATAAAGTCTATTCAAAATAAGATCTTTCTACCTATTGATTGGTCATATTCAGTCCTGTACTTTAAATAAACAAGTTTAATTTGACTTTACCAAGGTCATCTTGATATCATGTAAAAAAAAAGCTTATTACCCCATTCCCGTTTGATCAACTTCTCTTGGTGTGTTTATAACCACTATGAGAAGAGAGTTGTACTGATTGCATTGACATCACGTGAGTGTTGTTTACAAAATTAATTGGACAAAAAACGAATATCCAGCGCTTTAAACAGATTGATGGATATTGAGGATCTACATAAGGGATTTGAGAAACCTTGATTCTAAACTAATATAATGTACACTTTCGAATTCTCATTGATCTATTCTAATACGTCTGAGGTAGTGAATGGAATTAAATCTGATCTCATATTAATAATATCTTTTTGATGGTATTAAAATTCTTCTCATGTATTCATTTATTAGATTAAATTTTTCTCATTATCAACACAATAGAGTTATATGTTTGATCCTGCGAAGTCTCGTGAGTGTATAATGTTCACCCTTTATTATGTTTAATCGTTGTTCAACTTTGATAACGTCAATTCCTAATGAGAAAAAAGATTCTTATTCAAATTGAATATGAACGATTAAATTTATACATATTTTTTACGATAATATTTAACCTGGCATATGTATTGAGATCACGAACCGATCTAATTTTGATGACTATTGAAAATGTCGAAGAACTGGATAGTTAGTTCATCCTAGTATTTGACTCTTCCACGATTCTATCATTAGCAGTGTAACCCAGAACCTTTGGTTTCCCTAAGCCGGGATCTAAAAGTGTACAAGTTTAACTCTAATCAATCCACAATATTGTCTAACCATTTTCCATTGTCTTCAGCCATTACCTTCCTCACAGCCGACATAGTTGAAGTCTACTGGTCGCGGTTTCCTACTAAAACTCCAGGAATAATAATCATTTCTCAGAGTTGGTCGTTAGTAATCATATAATACCATACTGTTATGCAGAATTAATGCTTAACCAAATACTATTATTCTATTTATTTTGTTTATTTTTTTCACCTAATAAAAATGACTGTATATGTATATCTTCTTATAGCTGTAGATTTTTTCAATCAAATTAATATGCTTTATGGTACATTACTTGAATTTTGTACGGATGATACATGTCCAATTATGTCAGCTGGTCCAAAGTATGAATATCATTGGGCTGATGGACAAACAGTGAAAAAACCATTGAAATGTTCTGCACCACATTATATTGATTGTTTAATGATATGGATTCAAAAACAATTGGAGAATGAAGCTATATTTCCATCGAAAATTGGTAGGTTTTTAGTTTATGAATTATTATTATTAGATTGATTTATTATTAATGTTAAGTGGAGCGATTACATACTACATATGCTAAACATAAAGTACTCTCTTTCATACCAGGGTATTATGTCACAAACTAATCATCTCTTCGCTTTTTCTATCCAGTTTTGACGTTGACAGTTAATACCCGATAAGAAATGTTCTGCGGTGACATTCGTGATGTATATCCAAGCCACCGAAGTTAGTATTTCAAGGCAGTGACATTAGTTGAATGACCGTCACAGGGCCATGACTTCATTATAACTAACATGGTATTACCACTGGATATGAGCAAACCATAAAATTTAGAAAACAACGAATCAACTACAGTAATATGTAATGATTTAGAATTATATCAATAATTTCATAGCGAAAGAGGGACCTATTAATTGAAAGTGGGAAAAAGAAGATAATAATAACAAGTAATATAAATAATGTTTGAGCTTTTAAACCAAAGTGTATGTGATATGATGGTGGGTATCGGAGATCTGATACTGATGCACAGCGTGCTATGCGCTAATCCTTCAAATTGACTATATGAACAAGAAGACAAAAGTGGAACAGAAATTCTATTGGGCTACCGAATAACATGCATAAATACTCACTTATATAAATACATTTCTATCCCTTAGGAAGTCAATTCATTTCTTAGTCAATGAAATGCACTTGCCCGTCAAGTCACTTTTGATTGTCATCAAGTGACCTCATTTGTCTAATTCTGATTAGGTCATCATGTCAATATACAGAGCATACTCAGCAGCATCAGTCAAGGAAATCGTAAATACTGTTGATCTAAGTCGTTTTATCTTCTTCAAATCTGGAATGTGATATCATTATCATGATTTTATGAGGCACTGTAACTTGTACCATTGCAAGTTATCTACACTCTAGATCCAAAACTATCCGTAACCAACTGGTGTTATCATTATTATTAGTTATTCTCTTCGCGCAGTATGCTTTGTTGTATCAAACATTATCACTAACCCATTGCTAGTGTATGTGTTTGTCTGTGTTAGTATGGACGTTTTTTAATTTATGAAGGCTACTAAACATTGGAACATCAACTACTGAGAGTTGAGTGCTTGCAAAGACCCGAAACCACCATAAATCAGTGACCATAGCATTAGACTGACTTATCACTAATCAGTAAACAGTTTCATATTTGATTAGTTTTTCGTGTTGATCTTATTCTATCGATCCCTTTGAAATCTAAATACTAACCTCGGTCAATCGACACTATTGCCATTAAGTTCGGTAGTAATACTGGACAATGTGCTTGGAAAACCAAGGGGCGGCATTCGCCCAGTCAAGATTCCGAATGCGCCTTGTTGATGATTCCTGTCAACTAGTTAGAAATATATATCCTGGTGCCTCTTGTTTACTGCCTCATGGCTGTAGCTGCTGCCTTGATGTGGTGGTCCAGGATCTCTGTCGTGACGAACCGGTCGAGCTATATTTGCTAAAATACTTATTCTTTCAGGTCCTACCATACCAGACAGGTCGGTCTAAGATCAGTATTACTAAGAGCAGTAAACGGATAGCCTGAAGGTCTGCGGTATGTGACAGCAGTAAGTTATTTCCACCAAATAACCAGCATTTCAAATGATGTTACCTTCTCACAACGTTAAAAAACCGACCTTTTCAGTTACCTTGAGAAAAATTATCCTTCTACGATATAGTTGACCAGAACTTGATAACCACCACCACCACCACCTTTAATGACGTTCGACACTATTTTCTCCTCCAGCTACTTTACATCCGCACAGATCATTGTTCATATTCATATTTTTAACTGAAATACTACATCCCAAATATATATTTTTTGAATTGTCTATATGTAATACAATGAGATCAATGTCTATCGAACTATATTTCATGTCATGTCAAAATCATCCGATGATATCTGAATGTTTTTTTTAAAAATGAGAACAACATACAAGAAATAAACATTTTTTTTTAAAAATGATGATATGGGCAGTTTCTTTGTCCTTCTCTAGGTCATTTCATAATGTCCTTATTGTTACGGTTTTTAGTAAAAATGAAACTAAACATTTCTAATTCAAACAAAATATAATTACCTAGATCTTACTAAAAAGTTTGTAATCGATCGGAAAGAAAATCAATGATACACAGTTTTTTGTTTGTTTGATATGTTGAATTGGGACCAAGTGAACAGAGTAAATACTGCATATTTTGTATTCAACTTTGAGTCATATATATATATATATACATGGAGAGAGTCCCTTTGTACTACAGTTTGATTGCAAAAGCCAAAATTTTTGAAACAGTGCTCGAATCTGTAACAGACGAGTGTTTTAACCATCATGTCCTTTGATCTGTTTCTTATGTATAAGTAATTTCTCGACCGTTATTGCTACCTTGACGTGGTTGTCGGGCTTGCCTATCGTGATGAACCAATCGAGCTATACTGGTTGGAACAATCGTTCCTCAATGTCCTACCATGCCAGACAGGTCGGTCGAAGTCGTACTGCTGACTGTACAGAGGTGTGACGGCAGTATGGTGTTTCCTTCAGACAACCAGAGTGACAGCGGTAGTGCCTTCCCACAGGGAGGAGTGGGGTTAGAAAATGTCGACCCTAAAAATGCACACCCTACCTTATCCCATGGATATCCGTCTCCGGCGGTTAGGTCTCAACAAGTACGGAGCTAACGCGAAAATTACCCATGAAAATGTCGTGTGTAACCAACCTCAAGCAGTTGTCCCTTGGGCACTGCGGTCACGCTTTCGGGTCACTAAGACCACCTTTAATCCAATATCCTTTTTAGATACCTCCAGAAGAACCCTCCCACGGTGTGGGCAACCAGGAAGAGATAACCGCCCTCATACCTCTTACAGCACTCAAGACCACTGTATAAGTATTCAATCGTTTTACTGGTTTTCCATGAAATAACCACACGAAAATCAATAATCCTAGTTAACGTAGTTTCTGGAGTTCTAGTGGAAAGCCGTGACCAGTGGGCCTCAACCGTGTTTGGGTTTGAAAAAGTAACCCACTGAAGATAATGGCAAATGGTTAACCGATATCATAGATTGATTAAATATACTACTGAATTCGGGCTCAGTGGTTTAGAGATTAAGTGTTCACGCGCGTGATCGTAGGTCCTAAATCCAACTTCCGGTGGTAGAGTTGCGGACATGCAGTGCTTAGAAGTCCCATACTGGGACGGAACAGTCGTTTAGTCTTTTCAGTTTTTCAAAGGTTGTCAAACTAAAGTCGGTTCGTAATATTAATGAAATTTATTTATTTATTTAAGCACATAAACATTGGTGAAAGGAAATACCAAATAGGTATGCACCACATAAATCAATCGATTTCTGTGAGGGCTGGGATACTGCCCGGGTGCCCAAACTGAAGCAGCTGGTTTCCTTAGGGGGCCACACTCGGAGCCTTCGAGTTAAAGGTCCAATCCATAAGGCAATGGAGCAACGTTAAGAAATGCAGTCCCATTGTACGCTGTTTTCAACAGTTGATTCATACGCTATTTGTTCCCTCAGGATATTGGAGCTCATGTGCACCATTTGTTTGGAGTCAGGGTTTTCCAACTCCACGAGGTGGATTCTCGTGTCCACCAACCTATTTGAAGCACCGTACATTCGCTTTTCGTCCTCTCAGTTTTGTAAATAACAGTAATACTATGAGAAGGCAGTGAGTAGGGCTTTTATGGCAGTGGTTGTATGCACGTGGCCATTTGTGAGCATTTCTCGAGGGAGAGCTGACTCTCCCTACTCTCGGCCTTACCAGGACATTTGGGGGCCGAAATATCATTTAGGTTATTCTTTAAAAAAACGAGAATACTGAGTAATCAGAGACGGCACCCACGAATGCCCTGATATGGCCGAGGGTGGAGGGAGTCAGCTCTCCCTGTTGGAATTCTCTAACATGGCCACACGTATACAGGCACTGCTAAGGAAGTTCTACTCACCTCCTTCTCGCCATGAGGGGTATTGAGAGGACGAAAAGCAAATGTCCTGCGCTTTAACCGAGATAGTGGAAACGGAGAGTCCACCTATTGGAGTTGGAAAACCCTCATTCTAGACCAATGATGTACATGGGCTTTATGACCCTGAAGGAACAAATGGTGTATGAACCAATCGTTGATCACTGACTACCATGTGACTGCATCTTTTGACGTTGCTTCACTGCCTTGTGGATTAGACTTTTAGGTCGGAAGCTCCGCATGTGGCCCTCTTAAGAAACCACTTATTTCAGTGTATGCACCCAAATAGTATCATAGCTCACACACAAATCGAGTGACTTGTATAGCGTATATGTATTCAGTGCCTTTTTTGTACCACTATTTATATGTTAAACTCTTTTAGCTATTAATTGAAAATTATATTCTTCAATTGTAAAGAAATCACTCATTAGAATGATTATGTAATCATATGAAATACTACCGTTAGTATCTTATTAAATAGAATAATCAATTCATTGTTAAAATATTTATCATTGACATATAATCTGAATATTAAATCTATTTTTTTTTAAATAGGTGCTCCATTTCCACGTGATTTTCTTAATGTAGTCAAAGTGATATTAAAACGTTTATTTCGAGTTTATGCACATATTTATTATCAACATTTTTCTGAAGTACGAGATCTACAAGAAGAAGCTCATTTAAATACAAGTTTTAAACATTTTATATATTTTGTATTGGTAAGTATTATTGCCCTATTTCGTTTGTGTATCTTTCTTTCTGTACTATATCCTTACATAAAACCTTTTCCTTTATATAATACACCATTAAGTAAACTGCTTCTATGAATCCGGTGTTTGTCTTGCTTTACTAATGAGATATGGCAATTTAGACCAATGCATGTATATGCCTTGTCCTGTGTTATAATTGACTGACTGAAGTACTCTTTATGTAAAAGGAGGACACTGAGCGAGCTTGTTATGGCGTTTAGTTTCTTATATCCTGAATAAATTGTTAAAAATTCAAATTATATGATTAAGAGTCCTAATTCCTATTGATCCACACAGCTTCTCTTATCCCTAGTAGCTTATCAGAAATGATGATGAATGATGCATGTCCCATCCCCATAAGAAGTATCAATTCGTTCAACATTAGAAGGTATGGATTGTTGATGAGTTCCAATTAGCACGAGAATTAAATCGATCAGAGTGTCCTAGCAACTAGGTCCAACTATTTAACAATAATAATTCAAATACATTTACAATGAAATGCTTACGTATATATCTTCTATATATCTACAACTGAATAATAGGGTATAAATCAAAACATTTCTTTAAATAATACTTGTGTTATAGTACATAAACTGCTCTTTCAATCAAAGATGTACAGTGGCTAGCAGTGGAATCCAGTTTGATGCGCGTTTCGTCCTATCGAGACTCGTCAGCTGGATGTACCTGCACCGTAGAGTTGATTTTCACTCCGGGACTCCGGATGCACATATGCCAACATGAGACTGATCAATTTCAGTCCTAAATAACAATAGGAAGATACAAGTAAAACAACACCAAGTGAATTTAAACTGCACCCCATTGCACAAGTATGTGGCCATCAGGACTCAGTAGCTAAGTGGACAACGTGATGGCGTTTGAAGCGAACGGTACTGGGTTCGAGTACCAGAGTGAAGATCAACTCTGAGATGCAGGTATATCCAACTGACGAGTCCCGAATAGGACGAAATTCGCGTCCTCTATTCCACTGCTAGCCACTATCCATCTTTGCTTAAAAAGCTTGTGACCTAAGTCTATTATATCGAGGTAATCCATACAGGATGCACATATACCAACATGAGACTGATCAATTGCAGTCCTAAATAACAATGGGAAGATATAATTAAAACAAGATCAAGTAAATTTGCTCTTTTGATGTTTAATATATATGCTTGTTTTGTTTTTCTACTTATAGGAATTTAATTTAGTTCAAAAACGTGAACTTGTTCCATTACAACACTTAATTGATTTATTAACAACAAATGAATCTACCACAAATGATGAACATAATAGTAATGATAATGGTTCTACATCACATAATTATTCATTACATACAACTACTAATGATAATAATATAAGTAGTATAATCAATGATAATTAAATATTACATATTACATCTATTAGATATAATATAAGTATATATATCTTTCATAATAATCGTTATCATTGATAACGACAACGATCATAATCATGATTTATGCCTTAATCTATTCTTATATTGACTTCTTTCTTTGATACATATATATATCAATATCCTGTATGTGGTACTCTAGCGTTTGCATGGAAACTACCATATATTTTTAAATTTGTTCTATATGTATGAGTTAGACGAATATTTCTTTTCTGTTGGTATACCAAAAATAAAACACAATTTATATGTATATATTAAAAATAAATACTTAACAGACAGGTGATTTCATATTCTGTTAAAGGTATGAGGAAAGTTGTCGATTCCCCGATTGCCTGTCCACACCATAAAACAATATTCCTTCTTCGAGGGATGTCAATTGAAAATGCAACTAGGGTCAATGGTGGTATTATTAAAGAGTTGGGAATGTAATCGAACAGCCGAAAGGAATAACTGCTTGGGGATGTTTATACACATTTCGTGGAAATTTTTTAATCTATTTGCTTTATACTTCAAAATGCCTTACTGTTATAGATGGAAATCCATGGGGTAAAATAAGTTGTGAAATTTTTAGGCCCGACCTTTTCTAACCTCTTCATTCTACTACGAGAAAGCAGTATCTTAATAGATGATAGTAATAGGATGGAAAAACTGTACTACTATTATACCCCTGTACAGTCGTCAGTTCGACTTAACCCCTGGCTTTAGTTTTATCGTCGTTCTCCAGTAGACCTGCCATATATACCCTTGTGGGCCAGGGTAATATTAAATTGGTTTTCAGAAGGACCAGACATTCACATGACAACCCAAACAGCACAGCTCAATCCCGTTTGACAGGAGAGCCAAACACCACCCAGGCTTAAATTTTATAACCCGAGCAGTACAGCTGAATCCCGTTTCACAGGAGAAATAGACACCGTATAGGCTTTAATGCTACAATCTGAATAGTACAGCTCAATCCCTTGGCGCAACCACACAGGTACAAAGCACCCTAGTGGACCATCCAAGACATGTCACTATATCTCGGCTGAGTTATTACAATATGCAATCCCAACCTACCACTTTAAGGTAGTAGTTACAGTCGGGAAATACATTATCTTAAGAGCGGATATCCTTACTGTGGTGATAAGCGTTTGTTCAAAATAAATTTTACGTCAATCGGAAGGACAACCACATTATTTGTAAGTGTTTGAAGCGAAAGGTACTGGGCTTGAGTTCCGATGGAGCATCAAAACTTTAATACAGGCACATTCAGTTGACGAGTCTTAAGCGGGATAAAATTCACCTGGATCCCACCACCAGCCAAACTACCAACTATTCTGTAGAAATAGGTTAAATATCTGTTTATACCCCTTTCACAGATTCTCTGAATGTGAGAGTGATAGCTTACTATTTATAGTATTGAACGTTTAGCCACTGACTAACCGGGTTATAAGTTTGAAACCTGTTCTACTTACAGTCTGAATTGTATCGTTTGATATAATTTAAAAATGAATCGATAAGCCATCACTCTATTACAGAGTTGCCTTAAGCATTTGTAGTAATAAATGAAATTTCATTTTCATCGGATGATATCTCTAGTGGATTAATAATATCTGAAAGGGGTTTTGCGGAGATTGTAGTAATTTAATAGTTGAATTCATGAGTCATTTAAAGCTAGACCACTATGGAAAACCTGGAAGCACTAGTGACTGGCTTCAAGAGGTATTCCCTGGAGTTCTAATGAGAAGCCGTGACCAGTGGAATTCAACCGGGTCTGTTGTAAGATTGTGACTCACTGGAGATGGTGGTTCGATTTCGTGGATTGGTTGAAGTTAGACATTAACAGCATTGGATACCAGCTCAGTGATGTAGAGGTTAAGCGTTCGCGCGCGTGATCAAGGATGCTCGCTGCTTCGGAGTCCCATACTAGAATGGAACGACTATCCAGTGGTTCCATGGTGTTCTAGCTTAAATCGACTCATGGATTAATAATAGTACTTATAAATGAGAATAACACTGAAAAAATAGGCACTAACTTTATGATTGATTCCCAAATATGGTTATCCGAATCCTAACCACTTAGACTGAAGGTCACATAACTAATTCGTTAGGGCCTAACCGAAAATCTTACTCTTGGTTACTCAGGTATCAGTGTAAAAATATCAAATTTGTGAAGATAAATCACTTAATGAATAGTTCAATTGTGATATCTGTTATGACCTTGATGTCTGGCTTTCTATCACGCGACTTATCGACCAGTCAGAATACGGCTTATACAATTTCGCACTATGCCAAACCAATGACGTTCAACCGGTATGAGCAGTTTAGCGTCCTGATCGGTCCTATGGCCTCCTAACCCTTCCACTTGAGTCCAGAACACAATACCAGCTTCCGTAATATGAGTCGAATCGTTTATTTCAGACATACTCGGTTTATATATCAACCAGACAGATCACAACGTACCATAAAATAGAAAATAACATATGTACACAAATAAGCCAAAAAAGTGGCTGTGAACGAGGGGGGCAGTAATTAATAGACTGAGCATAGCTTAAGAACCGTAAATCGTACAATAATAAATTATAGGTCAAAATAAAGCTTATCATAAGAGGAATAAAAATATACATAATGGGTACCCAATGAAATTCATCGAAAAACATATGACGGAGAAGAAAACAAGGACAAAAATACCCACTGTCCCCAAGAAGATATTATTCATAAAACTACAATTCATAAATGACTCCATTGAAGAAATCATGACTCAGAAACTAAGAAGAGCGGTACAAAAAACATTTAATGCTGCCAAATTAAATGTCATCTTCTACAACCAACCGAAAATAAGAACATCCATTAAAGACAGACTGCCAGAATTCGCCAAATCTATGTGTATCTATCGTTTCAACTGCTCCTGTGGAGCCAGTTACATAGGGCGTACAATTCGACAGGTCCGTCACCGCATTACAGAACATCATCCAACATGGCTAAGCAAAGGACAGGTGAAAGTGATTAAAAGTTCTATTCACTCTCACTTGGTTGACACAGGTCATCAAGTCGAAGTGAATAAAGTTTTTAAGGTTATCTACACTATTCCATCAAATCTACCACATGGTTTACGAGTGCGCCTTTTACACATTGCGGAAGCCATCGCAATCCATGTTCACAAACCTGACCTTTTATAGTATTCTAATTATAGTATGAATTAGGAATCCCAGGATTAACGCAATTGAATTAAGAAGACACAGGCACAACGAATGTACTGTATTTAGAATTCGAAATCGAGCATTCAACAAGTACAAAAGAATCATTAGTTAATTCAAACACCACATCCGCCACAGCTTAAATAGAAGTATAAGTGTTTGTAATCGGTTGTACGTCTTCTTGTTAAGTTCATCCTGAGTCTGTCCGACATTGTATAAGATAAAAACTTTGTAGTATCTAGAAAGTGCTCATTAGTATTGGAATTAACAAACGAAATCGGAACAGACTCACCTGGAATTGTATACAACCAGCATGTCGGTTTTGTAATGAAATCATTAATATCTAGAATTCGAACCATAGATTTTTCAACACTATCCCCCCCCCACGAAATAATGTTGGATCTTTATACTCCCAAGTTATGAATAATGTGGCTTCATTTAAAACATATATCTCACATTGTTTAGAGTAAACATTAGAACTGTTTTTGTGATAAGAGTAAACAGCAGTTGATATGAAATCATCCGAAATATAATAAAACTCGAGGTCACTTAGTACTCGTGCTTCGCATTGGGCAGGTTTTTCACAAAGATCAAATACATTATAAGGATAGGTAATATATGATATGACATCAGGATTTGATTCTTCTGAAATATTCTCATGAAATTCATCAGGACTGTCATTGCAGAGCGTAGGATCGTTAGAAAAATCAGCATCTATCCAAACCACATCAGGTTTTCGATCATGATTAGGTTCATTTAACATATTTTCCTCAGAATTGCAAGTAATTTCATTAGAAATATGTGAATCATTAGGAAAAGTCATACTTGGTACAATAGCATGAGAATTCTGATAAATCGGTTGATTAGGAAATGTTGTCTCACAAGAATTCTGGATTTCATTTAACTCTGAACTGCCATATGACTCTGCACTGTCTTTTGAAATCGTTGATAAAGATAAATGATCATCATGAATACTCGACTCAGTAGAATCAGAATTACAAGACTTAATATTAATTGCAGTAAGATGAACATTAGCATTACAAACTGACTGAACTTGTCCAATATCACGACATTTAAAGCATTTAGAATTATGAAATTTACATGAATTAGAAGAGTGGAACTTGCAACAGGACAAACACTGACCAAACTTGTCCCCATCCTCGTGAACTGCATCCAAATTCAATGAATTGTCTGCATAACCTTGAGTATGCACTAGGTTGAGATGACGTAGTAATGTAGTGGACTTTTTTATATCCTCATGAATCATTTTACGAAATCTTCCTCCTTTACGACATTTGAAATTTGTATACTGAGCATAGTCTAGCAGTAGATCCTTGAGAGCTGTATAAGAAAGCGAAATGGGTTTTTCCGGCATAGCCAGAGTTCTTAATAAACTGTATGCTTCTTTTCCAATGAATGTGAGGAAGTGTGCCACAATATTAACATCCTCATCATCTTCCTTGGTCATAGCCCAGATTTCGAACCTTTCAAAGTAATCTTCAAAAGCTTCTGAAGTTGAATGAATATCTAACTTTTCCATTGCAGGCTCCATCGCGACGCCAATATAGTATTCGAATTATCGTATGAATTAGGAATCCCAGGATTAACGCAATTGAATTAAGAAGACACAGGCACAACGAATGTACTGTATTTAGAATTCGAAATCGAGCATTCAACAAGTACAAAAGAATCATTAGTTAATTCAAACACCACACCTTTGCATCCAAAAGAAATTCGTACAACCACATTCTCTCCCCTGGCCTTCAGTATAACATTTCCGTCGGAAGAACTATTTTTCATACTTCTTCCATTTTTATTTATTTTAAAATTTTTGTAATTTTGTTTCTATCGCTTTTGAGCCTTATAACTTCTCAACATTCATCTCTTGATTCTTACGTAACTACCATCCTATTGACCATCCGTTAAAATTCTATTCCTTCTTTGTTTCTTATATTACGCAACATAGCAACTTCTTGATTACTTTGAATATTAATAATCCTCTCTCTTCCAATTACTGAATGTTAATTTAAATGTCATTATGTAATTATTATTACGTAACCTATCCACTCGATGAGTATTATATTATTATTGTAAAACGTATATATATTAGTGTAGAGCCATGATGAAAAACTAATTGAAAAGAAATTTCTTCGCTCAATTCGTTCCTTCTTTAGTTACATAATGTAATTGTTGAATAGTTATACAATAAGAATATTTATAGAATATTAGTCCATTAATAGTCCTTGGAAGTTACCTGTAATTTAATCTTCACCGGGATACAACAACATCTTCGATCCCTTGTAAAATTGATTTCAGTTTTAAAGGAAGGGGTATTTCATATGGCTACTAATGATTGACTTGGTTTCTGGAGATTTCTGAATACATTTTTAGTATTAGTAATAATTTAAACACTTAACTAAGGAAGTTAGAAAAAAAAAACCTGGGTTTTTTTTTCAGTTTGTTAGATCCTTCTTCTGAAAACTATACAAATACTCTAATTAACTAGGTAGAAGGTTTATTGTAACATTGAAAAATAGAATGGATTTGTGCTCTTGATCACTATTCGAGTCCAATCAGCGTTGGG